TAAAGCACTGTTCTAAGAAAGTTAAGGGCATCATCGTTATTATTGCTAATCGCAGAACACTAGGTCAATATTAGCAATTCATTGTAAAAATGTGGTAAATTGGTTGTTTATTTTGGTTTCTCGAACGCGCTTTACGGTTGGGATAAATGGCCTCTGTGCTTCTCCTTTGAGAAGGCCTTAAGAAGTAAGATTAGCACTTGAGTACTATCAGCAAAGATGCACATTCAGGTACTATTATTCTTTTAGAGCGTTGATTCGAACTCTTTGAGAGAGTGCCAGTGCAAGCCTCTCCGAAGAAGAAGTGAAGCATTGGTATTCAATATTCTAGATTCCATTTAAGAAAAATATTGAAGTTTTTACAGGCTTATTGCAATAGGCCTTTTAGAAGAATGATTTTCAGTGTTGTTTGCCAATTATTCCGTTGTGTAAATCTATCTTCGGCTACTTACTTAATATAATCTTTTTTTTTGTGTAAAAGTTCTACGCTACAGGAGTGTTCATATTCCTAATGTGAATATCCCTATTTTATCCAAAAGCATTTATTCGCGTCACTAAAGGTCTTTTTTCCCAGACAATTCGGAAGAAAACTCGTCATCGCCTGACGAATTGATGAAGATCATAGAAGACATGTCACGGATTCACTAACGCCACGACGGCATCATTACCGTAATCTCAACGCCACCGTCGTCAGTCGTTGCCGTTATTCCGGTGAAACCGTGGTGATCCGTGTAGATTTGACGTGTTATCAGTTTGTCGAAACGTGTGCAAATATGATCTTTTCTTGTTGGATGTTGACTGTTACCGTTTATCCGGCCATATATGGTGATACACCGTGATAAAATTCGACCTAGTTCTTTTGTGCTCATCGTCTTGTGATATTTCCTAACCTGCCATGGTTTCCTTATCTTACCCTGATTTGCCCCCAAGTCCTTTTCCATTTGTTAGACTTATAGCAGTTTGGGTGGCTTCGCTAAATGGCTAGTGATGGTTGCCAGGAATAGATCATCCGAAATCTTGCTGTTTATGGCGCGTTGTCGTGGATATGCCCAACTGTGCACGAGCGCTTTTACTTTCACTTGAGTGCATTTTCGTCCACAATGCATAACTATATGTCTCTCGATATTCTTGCAAATTGCTACTATATTTGACTCCTTCAGGATCATCTTCTTTAACGGCTTTTGCAACAAAAGTTTTTTTCCCCAAAATTATTTCTCTCATGACTAAAAAAACACTGAATCAACAGCTTCTGAATTTTTCCTCTCATTTTGAGCACATTCTCCATTGTTTTATTGACACATCTGCCGCCATCATCCATATCAATGTTTTGATAGCGGGTGATCGAAATGAGATATTTTTGAAATCATTCCGAACATCTATGAGCCATAAGCTATGCTAAAATCAGTATCGCTAAGAATAGTTTTCGATTCTTCTAGCGTCTTTTATTTCGCCTAACTTTTAAGACATTAGTAATGCTTATTTTGAACATCTACTCAAAGATGAGTATTATATGAAAGTCGAACTAATTGCGAAGTCTTTGATCCCCTTTTAAGCTAAGGCTTACGTTTCAGTCTGATTGTCACTTCCTCAAGCCCGCAAAGTGAATCAGAAACTCTTTTTTGACTCTTATTCTGAATTGATAAGATATTTGAAAAGGCACATTTTATGTGCTTCTCACTCTCAGAGCTTTAACGTTGACGCGAGATCGAAACCTAAGCTTGAGTTAGTCCTAGAAATTTGCGTGCATATTTTTGACGTTCTGCTCC